CCGTGCAACTTTAGACCATTAGATTATTAGCTTATAATTTATAAAGTTGATCAATGAACATAAATTGATCTGAAAGGTTTCATAAAAAACTCTTGATCTTACATGAATCTAATTATATATATATATATATATATATATATATAAAATCAAAATAAATTCTTAATATTTAATGTCATGTCTGTTTTTTTAGTACGTATGTCACCACATACTAAAAAAACAACTTAATTATGTTTTTTAATAGTCAATCCCATATCTACCGTCTAAAGTGAAAACCCTATCGCTATATGTTGGCATCAATAATGGGGTTCTGACCAGAATAACCTACCAAATTTTCAAAATTACATGTTTAACTTTAAATTTAAAATATTAAAATTTTAACCACCATTTATTCTTTTAGCACTATTTGGTACGTAGGAGGATTTATGTATAAAAATAAATAAATTATGACCATGATTTGACATGGTCCTTTAGCACCATTTGGTGCGTAAAGGCCTCACCACCGTAAAATTTATATTTTTTTCTTTTTCTTATTTTTGTTTTTTCCCAATACAGCACTATTCAAATTTTATCGTTTTTCATTTTCAACCCCATTATATAAATAATTCAAATTTTATATTATCAGCACAAACCCACCACTTTAATCTCTATTTCCTTAATACAATATCCATAATGGGATTGAGAAGAAAAAAGACAAAATATGAATATTGTTGTATTGGAAATGAGCAAAAATGAGAAAAAAAATATAAATCCCACGGTGGTGGGTCCGTTACGCACCAAATGATGCTAAAGGACCATGGTTGGGCCATGTCAGATCATGGTTATAATTTATTTATTTTTGCACATAAGTCCTCCTACGCACCAAATGATGCTAAATAAGTAAATGGTGGTTAAAGTTTTAAACTTTTAAATTTTAGGGTCAAACATGCAATTTTAAAAATTTGGTGGGTTATACTTATCAAGACCCCATCAATATTGCCACCATCATCAGGATCTAGCTCGTGCCTTCGTCATCACCATCTAAATCACAATCACTATCAATAAAGCCACTTATCTAAGGGAAATTGATCCAAATAACTATTTCTCTCTATTAAATTGGTCTTCTAGTCATTGCTCTCTCAATTTTACTAATATATCACTACATCCTCAAGTGACAACTCCTCAATCAAGGAAGGGGTTAAAAAGTAAAAAGAAAAAAAGAAGTTGTTTTGAACATCCTTCACAAGTGCAGGGGTCAAAACTACAAATGTGTACAACTACGTTCATTAACCACATAGTCTTGACTAATGTTTCTCACCTCAACACACAATTCTACAAACACACCCAATACTGGTTCTAGAACCCATGACGAAGTTCTATAGTTTTTTTGCCTTTTCATATAAGATATTTGCAAGGCTTCAATTTTGGAAAAATGTTTAGCCTCTGATTTGTAAATTATAAACTTCATTATCTATATCTAATAAGGGGGTGTTTGAGATTACTTATCTGAAACAACTTATGCTTCTTTGCAAAAATCTTTATCAACTTATTATAAGTAAAAATAGTTTAACTTCTTCAAAAACTCCTTATTACCGGTTTGGCACGAGGATAAGCTATTTATCCAAACACTCAAAAGTGTTTATTATCGGTGTCACACCGAAATAAGTCGATAAGTTGTTTTTATAAACGATCCAAAACAACCCACTAAAAACTATTTAGGGGGTGTTTGAGATTGCTTATTCGAAATAACTTATACTTTTCTATAAAAACACTTATCAACTTATTATAAGTCAGAAAGGTTTAACTTCTTCAAAAACTGCTTATTACCAGTTTGGCACCGGTATAAGTTGTTTATCCAAACACCCAAAAATGCTTATTACCGGTATCATACCAGAATAAATCAATAAGTTGTTTTTATAATCAATCCCAAACACCCCTAAATTATAAAGATGATCTAAGCTAATAGCACAATTTGTATATGTATATTGATTTATCTATCTCATTTTTTTTAACTTAACATATAATTTTTAAAGAAAATTTATTCAAAATGTATCATAAAAATATTAATTTTTAAATAAAATCAATTCGATTTTTTAAAACATCATTAAAAAAAGCGGTTTCATAGGAGCTATTGTAATAAAAAAAACATGAATGAATTTTTGCCGTTACAAGTAGTAATGTGGAAGTTCTGAGTTATTAATTCAACAAATAAACTTTAATAAAGAAAATAGAATTTCTTTCTTCGTCTTAAAAAAAAAAAGGAGAAATCTTAATTATAATATAAATTAGAAAAAATAATAAAAAAAATAATATATAAATACTAATACCAATACAAAATCTCATTCATTTAAAAAAAAAATTTGATTAAGTTATTTAATGTAAATTAAAAATATTATAAAATTTCCTAAAATAATATTAAATTATTTTATAAAAATAAATAAGATAAAGTAAAATGAATATATTTTTAAATAAAATAAAGATATATTAAAGTCTTTGGCTTATTGAAATAATGACTTGACAACTCAATTTTTTCTTGGCATTTTCACTGCAGATACTAATATTTAAGATCAAATCATACCTTTTTTGTTTGTCAAATTATATCAAAATAATGTGAAAAAACCAACTTTTTTTTTTCCTGAATTTGAACAATATTCAAAGGAAAAAATGATTTATAACTGTATAAATTTTTATTCTAAACCATAAATATTTTAAAATATTGGAATGAAGATTTTTTTAAAAGTTTATCTAAAATAAAAAGAAAAAGAAAATGAAAATGAAGATATATATATATATATATATATAGAGAGAGAGAGAGAGAGAGAGAGAAAGATGTGAGTTATTATACAACTTTTTTCATTTGTATAACCAATACAACTCAATCTCAACAGTCCATTTAATTTGATGAATATGTGATTTCATAAATTTTTTGATTGTTTCATAATATAAAGTATTAATCATAATTAATGAACCTTAGTCATCTTCCATAAATATTCAAATCATAATAAATGAACTTTCATCATTTGCATAAATATCTCAATTGATTGAGTTGCATTGGTTGTACAAATGTGATGAGTTGCATTTGAAACGTAATATATATATATATATATATATATACATACTATATTATAAAGCATTTGACAAAAACTCTTAAAAACCAATTTTTATGCGTAAAGTACTGTTTATTAATGCATATTACTTAAAATTCAAGATTACAAGTAGATTGYGCATAAGTACAACTTATTAAAGCTTCAYATCTGAATTCGTGTAACTAACTGTAGATAAACATAATCAAATACATGATAAACATCTCATTTTAAATATAAAAAATATAAAATATAATTAGGATAATCATTGAGTTTTAACAGAATATTTAATTATTATCTTTATAAAATGTTGTATTATTAAAACAAAAATAAATTATTTCATTATTAAACG